AAGTACTCCTTCAGACATGACATGGCTGGCAGCTTTCACCTTCATGGTGTTCAACTGGCATCTCTTCTGCACGTTGTCGGGTGGATGAGGAGTCCTGCTGGATGGAGCCCCATGCCTACAACGAACGCACGACTTGGCAGTGGCTATGCACATTGATTGTTTAAGAACCATGCGTTGATAGTTGCAAACCCGGCAACATGCGAGAACAGGACAGACCTCGGCTCCGCAATAAGTGTCATGCATGATCATTCCATATGAAGCCCGAGCAGCGCAAAACAAAGGCTCTAGCCAGCTCTTCACATTCAGCTCAACCTTCTCCTGGTCCGGCCTCGTCCGGGACACAAGCAAGGACTCTGTACTCTCCAAAGCCCCAGCAAAGTCTCGCCCAAGCCCCAACTTGCCAATGCATTCTCGGGTCTGGGACCCTGGAATCTACCGAAGAACACCAGCGCCAAAGCGAGTGCCATTGACGAGTCGGATTCTGCAAGTCTACTTCGTGGCACACTCACATGATCTGCCATGCGCTGACACTGCCATGAGTCCGTTTCGGTTGAAGAGGGAGGGAGAGAGCAAAGGGAGGAACCCATACAAGCTTTGGACGCTGTCCATGCCAGGCATGCTTGAACAGCAATTTCCTACTTTCCTGTCACCCATCGTCACTCGTCCATCTTTGCGCTGGGATCCACCATGGTCTGACAATTCTGACAAATGTTCTCGTGCCTCCGCTTTGGCTCTTGTCAGCTTCGGGCGCATGGATGTGCTGTCGGCTGAAAACATAGCCAGCGGCAAACATTTTGGCACAAATCGAGCAGCACGCAGCCTGGGGAAGCCTGACCCTCCACCGTGGAAGCGTCGAGTAGCAGCAGGCAGCTGAGCGTCTCACTCGGCGCCAAAGTACTCGCTCAGCGCACCGCTGGTGATCCTCGATTGCCAACGAACTTTCGGAATTCTCTGGCACCAAATGCTAGATGAATCAGATGTTACCCAAACCGCAGCTCGAGAGGAAGCTTGTGCTCTCAATGACAAATTCAATCTTGAACTGCCGGTGCTTCCAGGAGCTCACTGGGGCACTGTTTTCCTTGGGAAAATCGTGTGGCTTGTTCGATGGCTGGAGTTGCGCAAGCGTCCGAGTCCGAGTCTCAATCCCTGCCACAACGATTGTGTGTACACACCAACCGTCAGAAAACCGTTCTCGACTCTGTTAAGGGATGATGCTTGCGCCTGGTCATACACATGAATGCCCAAATACAGTACCACAGCGGCAACAGCAAGTGCGCCAAGTGTCGCCAGCACAATCTGCATGCAAGTGAGCCAGAAGAGCCTCAAGCGCAAAACAAACCGCAATTGGGCTGCAGCAAGCCGAATGTACAGGCCGAGGCACATTTGACACATGTCAACTGCGACTTCCACAGGAGGCGTGCTGCCTACCAAGTTCAAGCTGGCTATCTTCGACCTGTGATGCATGCAAGCCAAACGGCAAGAAACTTTAAACCTGCATCCAGCGCAAACCGAGATGAGCTCTAGGTGAGACATGGGTCACGCTTGGGAGTTTCGACTGTGTTGCTGTGTGAAGCATCCGCATCGAAGTATACTAAGGTGTACTAAGTATATGGATTCCCGATGCAAATCCGATATGATCATGTTTCGAAATCTTTGTTTCGACTGATTTGGAACGACCTCTGTCTCAGACTTCCAAATCTTCAACTCTAGCTTCTTGATGCCTCAAGCCTCAAGCCTAGAATCTTGAAGGACAGGAAAAGGCTCAACGGTGCCACGCTCCCAAACCCTCAAGCCCAAAACTTAAAACCCTGGACCCTAGCTGCCTCTACTGATCTCTACTGCCTAGAAGCATCTCCAAGTCCCAATTCCCACAAGCTAGGACTCGGTAGAGGGTCAGGATTGAACTGGGACTCCAATACTTAGATGTCTGAGGCGATGGATGAATCTGTTCCGGCTAGCAATCAGGGAATCCTTCAGAAAGCAAGTCGCTGAGGATGCCATGACGTGCTGTGCAAGCTTGCGTCTTGACTGGGTCACGATGACTCAGCCCGCAATTAATTAAGCTCTTCCAAGTGTTGCCAATATCTGCCAATCATACGGACCCTAGATCTGCTGATGGTGACCATTGCGTGAGCAAAGGAGCAACTCGCGCAAGGCGTGCACGTGCAGGCGACGCATCCATCAGCATCTTGTCACGCAACAGTCAATGTGGCGAGGCCCTCTAAAGACGCTAAAGAGTAGTGCAGCCTTCGACGGAACATAAACCACAAGTGTGCGAACACCACGAAAGCCACAGGCTTCTGTAACATTGCCTGTCGACTCGTTCATACTCGTTCTGAAAACTGACGAAGGAATCTCGCGGCATGAAAATGCAGCAAATGCACGTCTTACCTTTAGCTGCGCAGCTACCGTCTAGTCAAGCAGAAATTGTGCTTTCGATGTCATGCTGACCCACAGACGCCTTTGATGAAGTGCTCCTGACAGTAGCAAATGCCGACACCATGTATGAACTCAACCAACTGAACACAGTTTCGAAGCTCTCCTCCACCAGACCATTGCAGCCTTGGAAAAGCAGAACCTGGTTTGAGGAACATGCACGAACGCCAGTGCCAGAAGACGTTTCAATCGCAAAAAGCGTCTCGTTGTGACGTTGTGACGCAGTGGATATTCTGAGCAACCGGCAGCACAGAAAATGGAGATAGTCTGGCTAATGACCTGCTGCACAACATTGCACAACCATCAGCAGTGGTTACAACAGGAGACAAAGGGAGAACAAACCATGCAACAAGCCGCAATGAAAGCGGACAAACAAAAGCGCCGACCGCGCCTGATTGAAACACATTGAAACACGATGCAGGCAGGCGCACGAAAACGCACAGCTAGCATGCACATGCAAAGCGAACCGATGGGACAGGTAGCAAAACAAAGCACATCCAAGGCCAACAACAGATCAGGAAGCCCCTGCAGCACAACACAAGCAATATCAAGCAATGCTTGGAGACAGAAGCCTCAGCCCACAAGCATCTAATCTAGCAGAATCTAACAGCCTTGCACGGCCACGCGTGGTTCGGTACCTTCGGCAGTTTTGAGGCCGCGGCCTGCCAGGAGTACCGCTGGATGTCGCGATCAGGCCAATTCACCAAGTAGAACATCAGCATCTGAAACCTCAAGCTCTCGGGACACCGGCTAGGCAGAATCTGTTAAGCATCCCTGTCGAAAATCACTGGCACTGTCGTTTCGCTGCTTGTTGAATTGCTCGCAGGGCAAATGCTTGCAGCGAATGCTCTGTCAAAAGCTGCTTGGAAGGTCAGCTTTCTGATTTTAACACGTGCAGCCGTCCAAAGACTCTACGATGCAGGCACCGCGTGTCACGAATCTAGCTGCGATGCCATCGGCGCTATGAGCTCTTTTGTTTCCTCGGTTATGATCTAAGTTTTACTTGGCAGGTGTTCTGTTTGTCCCACTACCGATTCCCTATGTCCCTGCAAGCGCTTTGAGGACACTACAAACAATAGCTTCTCTACTGCCCATAACTTTTCATTCATCATTCACAATGAAATTTCATTGCACATAATACCTTGGTTCACTATGGAACAACCTCGACTCACCATGAACGCCTGCTTTGTGCCCACTCGCCTGTTGTCTGACCGATTGTCTAAATCACCATGCGCCACTGTATGCAACTGTCCAACAGCAAACGCGATGACAATACCCCTGGGCATAGTGACATAGTAGTGACCATACGGACGTGCATGTTGACACACACCGAGAGAGAGAGAGAGAGAGAGAGAGAGAGATAGAGAGGGAGAGATAGAGAAGGAGAGGGAGAACGAGAGAGCGAGAGAGAAAAGGAGAAAAAAAGCAACAAAAAGGAAGAACTGGCACTGGCAAGTTGGGGCGCGCACCCAATGCTCCCCATCAACATGACCTCGACCATGCCGGATGTCGCATGCAACATGCAAGCAACTGAAGGTCGCATGCTGGAACGTGCAAACCATGTCCCACTGCCATTGGCATTATAGGAACGGTGGTGGAGATGATGCAATGATCGTGTTGACTGTGACTAGGACTAGGAAAGGGACCACAGCTAAGCAAGGATAGCGGAGCCAACTAACACGGCAGCATGCGACAATTTAAAAGGTTTGATAAGAGTGCTCCCCTCATTCTGGAGATTTCATGCAAAGTTCCAAACCCTTCCGACTCTTCCACCCATGCACGACCCTTTGCTGGTCACCTTATTCCGAGACCCTTCTTCAGCTACTGACTTTCATTTGTTAATCACATCACCAGGCTACTGCATTTGCTCCGCACATTGTTCCTTTCACTGTGCGCTGCAACGATTCCTGTAGAACCTGTGTGACCCACAGGCAGTGCTTTGGTAACACATCCGGATTGGCTTCCTGCCGGCAACCCCGGGTCTACACCCGCCTAGAACCTACCACGGTTCAGATTCCCTACCGGATGCAGTCGAGTTCAACACTCCCTGCCACACCCAAATGACGGAGAGGATTACCCCACGGGGGATCGTCTCGCTCAAAGGGGAGGGTGAGTGGGCAAAAGACTCTGCCTGTCTGGCTGAACTGCCAAGGCTTGACCCAAAAGGCCGGATGGACGACAACAAATGATTCGTGTGCACCCAAGCCTGCCAAACTCGACACATGACATACATTCGTTAATCGCAGCACTAGGCTACTGCATTCGATCCGCACAATTCTTCCCTTTCACTGTGCACCGCCTCGATTCCTGTAGAACCTGTGTATCAACCCACAGGAAATGCTTTGGTAACACATCCGGATGGGCTTCCTGCCAGCAACCCCGGGTCTACCCTGGCTTCCGGTACTGCCTAGAACCTACCACGGTTCAGATTCCCAATGCACTCTTCCCCAAAGCACTTCTACAGAAATTGGAAAACAAGCATGGCGGGCACCAACGGAAGCGGCCACACTTCCGACGGGAAAAAGGAGCGGGATAGCACGAAGCCATTGGCCGTACTCCAGTGGTCATTCACCCCCAATCCAGGTCTCGAGAGAGAACAAAGCAACATGGATGAGGTTAGCCAAACGTTCGAGGTCGGGAGAATCAGACCTGCCCCGAATCAGGGCCATCAAAGCTGCAACCTTGTGGATAAACCAAACACCTCGACCTCGACGGGCCCGGAATGTAGCGGCTCGAGAGGACAACGCAAAGAGCACCATAGACTGCTCGAATTGGGCAATCACGGTGTGTCCTGGCAAGAAAGCCTTGTATGTATGCTCGGTGATTTCCGCCACAAGCGCCTCGCGCTGGGGCAGCGCCTTGCCAAATCAAAAGGAAGCCTCCTGCGCCCTGTCTCGGTATGTCCTCGGCTGCGTCACTCGCAGGACAAACCGAGGGCATGATGACGGCAAGACCTCAACTTCCCGGCGAGGCTTCAAGCGGAGTGCAGCCCGAACCCGAGCTGTTTGAAAGGCAGCCCAAACTGCCAGGGTCAACTCCGGGCTGGTCTCATGCTGCCTCTCCTTCAAGGATTGGAGGCCGCCGGTTCCGATACGACCATAGGCGCCCTGCTCGAGGAAGTTGAGCATACCATACAGCTTGGACGCTCGCTGTTGGAGTGGGCGAAAATCCCAGTCGAGCCCCAAGAAGGTGCCAAAGGTGGCCATCGCCTGCCTCTTCTCCTCGGCGAAGGGGAACCCATCATACGATTGACCTCTCAAAAGGCTTGCTGACCTGAACCTTAAGCGGAACTCGAATGTCGTCGAGGTACATGGAGACCATCGCGCAGGTAAGACGGCGCCCAACAGTCCAACAGATTCAGTGAACCTGCTCAGTCTGTTGAAGCTCGTGACTGCCAGCGGCAATCCGAACAACAGGCCAGAGGAGATTTGGTACGCTGGTTTGCCCCAGTCGCGATGCCACCAGACCACAACACAACAACGGGACTGGTCTTCCGCCATCGGGCAGTGTCGATATGCGTCGGGCCAATTCTCCCCTCCTCCCTCCCATCGGTCGGTCTCCAACAGGAGGTTCGCTTCCTCGGGAGACAAGTGCCGCATGGCCGCAGACACGTGCTGGGCCGGACGAAGGGCAGAGCATAGGACCAGCTTGTTGGTGTCAGAACTAAGCTCACTTTGGCTTCCATGGTCAGCGTTGTCGATGACCCCCTGCTTACCAGAAGACTGGGTAATCACACACCGTGGGATGAGCCGAAAGGGTTGTCCCTTGACCTGCCGCATGCTCAAAGGCTTTGTGCAAAAAACTCGGAACATGATCCTTCATGGACTGCTCTAGCAGACTCTAGCAGAAAGGTATCATGCGGTCCTGGCTTCAATGCAGCTTTGGATTGCGCAGTTGTGCGCCTCGAACCCCAAACTGGCCCAAAAGCCTCTCCTCTAGGGGAATCTCCCTAAAGGGTTGTTGCGGGTAAACCCCGCATGGGCCAGGGTACGACGTGCCTACTGCCGGCATGCCCCTTAACAGGCGGTCGGGTAGACTGACATCAGGCCACGAGAGGAGAATTACAAAAGGTCCCACCAAATCTCCGGAGTCTGGAGGCCATTCAATCCCAACGCTTGTCCCGCCTCCGCTAGCTGCTTCCGGAACTCCTGCGGCGTGAAATTGAAGAGAGGATCGTTTTTCTTCTTGCGCTGGCGTGCGAGTTCCTGAACCAACTCTCCTATCCGCAGCCTCTTTTTGCTGTTCAACAAGATGGTGTTGTCGTAAACTCCGACCTTGTCGGGATGTGCATCCTCGATGTCTCGCACCACCAGGGCATGGCACGCGTATTGGCGCCCCGCCCCGCGCACCGGCGCGACATAGTCCTTCTTCAAGGTGAATGCCTCCCCTGGTTTCAGAATGTCTCAGATAAGCGTCGAAGCACAGCATCACCATCAACGCCCTCCGAGTTGCCTCTTGATAAGGATCATTGCCATGCCGCGAGCTATGAGAAGTGGAAGCGGGACACGGCTGGCTGGTGGGGATTCTTTTCTCCATTCCTTCAAAGCCCTGCGGCTCCGGGGTAGTTGCCCTTTGCTTTCGGAGCAGTCGAACTCCACCGCAACCAACGTTTTGTCCGCCTCGATCACAACCCCGCCGCCTCAAAAAACAACGCATCCATGTAGTCGACGAGGTACCGGTCGGCACTTCTCGCTGTGAGCTTTGTGAGACCTTGCTCCCTGGTAGTACTTCAGGTACTGCTCCCCCACCGCGGCAGATATGCTCTCGGTCTCCAAGAAAGAAAGCCCATTCTGCTGAGCGTGCTTCGCGACCTTATGAGGTTTCGCATGCTTTTGTGGCACGGTCCGCGAGTTCTTGGAAGACCTGCTCCCCGCCACGACAGGGAGGACTCTCTGTTTGAGTCTCGACTTCTTGACTGGTGGCACTCGGGTCTTCGACTAGAGCTGCTTGGAATCACTTTCGGTGTGGCCGTCAAACTTCGAACAGACACCGGTTGCTGGAAGCGAGGCGACCATTTTGCTTTCAGCGCCCGGGAAGATGCAGCCACGGCTGGGACTGTCTGCCACGTTCCATTCACTCGGCACCCATCGCACACGAAGCTGAAAGTGTCCCAGAAGAGACAATGCACTAAGCTGTTGGGTAATGCGCAGCATAGCAAAGTTAGTTGCACGTGCTTTTGTAACAGCAAAAGCCAGAGCCATATTATCAACCACCAGATGTAGCTTTGACCTGCACTTGTAGTTTCTAGCCATTCGCCTAACCGATAACACCAGGGCTCGCCCTTCCTTGAGAGTGATATGTTCATTCAGAGCACTCCAAGGTCCCATGAGCACGGTGTGCCATGCAGTCGGCTCCATGCCTGCATGAGGAACTTCAGGAAACAAGTCATTCGTTGCATACTCCAAAAGACCAGGGAAATCCTTGTCACTGCACGCTGTACGCACTTCCCTGAAAGGGTCCAGTCCCGTAGCATGGCGCCGAGGTTGCCATTCTTCTGGTGGGAGGCGTCGAAAACGCCATCTTTCATTCCATCTGCCAATGCTGCGGACAACATCGGAGTGGCACTCGCGTTCGCGAGCTCCGAAATCCGAAACCCTCAGGGGGCGCATCGGTAGCAGTGACAACTTCAGACCACTCCTGCTGAAGGTTACCCACCAGAAGTGGGAGGATACCAATGAACACTCGGCACTCAGTGGCCTCTTGCCGTGTCAGTCTCTCGACAAAGTCATAGAGTCGCCTGAACACAGACATGCCACAACGATTCAGCACGCAAACCACCATAGCATGACCAAGCAGTCGCTGCACCAAGTTTGTGGTCACGATGCTGTCAATCATATGCTCAAACTCCAGTATAAGATTCCAAATCCGAGATGACGTGGTGCATATTTCACCCCGTTCACCATCAATCACGCCGCCCTAAAATTGAAACACCAACAAGGCCGGTTCATGCTCATGAAGTGAAAAACCCATGGCGTGCAACCTCTCACAGATATCCTCCTTTCCCCGGTCGCAGGCCTCAGCTGACGTAGCCATGCAGTGAACATTGTCGCAAGAAGGCACTGAAAGTTTGTCAGCATCGGTCACACGAGGAGCGCACGATAACCATCGCGAACGAGGCGGTCCCGAGGGATATTGAGGGGCCCCAAACACGCACTTTCGTGAAGCCTTTGAACCAGGTAAAAGCTCCGGTTGAAACCCATAGGAAGAACGGTAATCCAAGGAGCTACCCGCTGCATGTGCGAGAAATCTTCGATTGACCCCCCCAAAAACGTCAACCGCTTCATCTGGAGTAAGATCGGAAGCGAGGCAAAAAAACCTCCTCCTTGGCATGTAACAAGCGTAGAAGCAATCTTGTATGTCGGCACCAGATGTATATAGACACTGATCGACACCCAGCTCCAACTCCGTGAGTGCTGCCAGCGAGCCCAGCTCCACATGTGGGGGAGTCTTGAATTGTAGATTGACCTGGCGACAATCCAGCAACAGTCTCTGCCTCTCAACCCTGACTCTATTCACGACCTTATGCGTCTTGGCAACAGCAAAGGCACCAACCCTTCCCCTGACACAGTGACACATCACCAAGTCCCCAAAATACCGCATTGTCTGAGGTGCTTCAAGACATGCAAATAGCCTGAGCGCCGATTGAGACTTGGATCGTTGTAAGGCCGTAAAGACTGCGCCAAATGACTCACCCCAGCCCGTGAATCAGCATCCCCGAACATCCAATCCTCAAAATGCACCACCATTTCGCGCAGTGAACTGAGGAGCTGTGAACCTAAATCGACTCCTGCGACACCCAACTTCATCTCAACCACATCTCCCACTCCCGCCTCCGGAACTGAACAACCCGAGGCAGGTGCCGGAGGGCCGAAAGGGCTCCCTGGCGACCCCTGACGCACCGAACTTCCGAATCCGTTGTACAAGCCCCTCGCCTCAAACTGTGCAAGAAGAAGCTGATCCATAGGCCACCCTGGAAGATGGGAAACGACCTTCGCCACCAAAGAAAAGCATATTCAAGGCAGAGATGGCCATATTCACCCGCTTTATGATGTGGAACTTGGTTCGCACTCGACGCTCCACAGCACGACTGAGCCTTCGGCCTGGTCCCTCGGGAAGCATCAGCAAAGGCAGGGGGAACCCATCACGTTGCCTACCATCTGCCCCCTTGGGCTCTTGAAACATCCTGCTGTGGTATCCCATCGTGAAATCCCGGCAGTTGAAAAGCAAAAAGGGTGCCCTGCCCAACCACGCCCAGCAGAACACCTCCAAAAGAACTCACTTCTTTCCACCCCCCCTTCGCAGCACCCTCTGGTGCCATTTTGGGGGACGGTTTGCCTCCACGGCTTTTGCCCTTGGCCTCATTGAGCTTCCGCCTCTCCTTAAGGATTTGAGATTCCTGCTGCATGCGCTTTGAGGCAAACTCCGTGAGGGAGGGGATAACGATACCACCGCCGAGACGGAATGGGCGCCGAAGGATTGTATGAGTCCGCCTCGGCGAGGAGTTGCTTCCTGCGAACAATGAGTTCAAAGGATGCCAGATTCGCGACATTTAGTCAGTCCATCGTAAGTCACTGCTGCATCCCGCACCTTCGCGAGCACCTCATCCTCATGGATAGCACGATCCCCTTCAGGGATCTTCGACTGCGCCACCCAAGATAGGTGTTGAGCGTAACAAGATTCTGCGACTGAGGGTACGGCCTTAACATATTGCAAGGCGGCTCGAGGCTCGAAAGGGAAGTCATCGAATTCCGTCTCCACCAGCTCGCTCACCGTTTCGCGGAAACCTCGCAGCCTTTCCCCATTCACTCCATAGCGCAATGCGAGCATCCTCTGCTGCAGCAAGGTCGTCGCCCTCCGATGCAATTGCGACGCAAGCCAACCCGATCCGCTCCTCGCAGAATCTGGTTCTGTCATCCTCCCGCATTTGCTTTGCTAAGCAAGGCCGGGTGACGCCTTCTATGATGGCCGTGCGGGTTGGCTAA